CTCGATTAATTTTGAGTTTATTTGTCTTGTGGTCAACTGTTGCACGCGTGATTGATCGTTATTTACGTGTTATTCCTCTTGCTCCTCCAGTCAAAATTATAACACCTCTGTATGTCTGCACTATAAATTTATACAGTTCATGAACTATCGACTGTATTAAACTCATACTTTCTTTCTAGCTATATTTCTTTCTACTACTTTCTTTTATCCAATGGATTTGCTTTTGACATTAAAGACTAGCTTTAAGGCAATTGGCTCAATAATAGCTCCTTTGTATCAGGTGCTGTAACTATATCTACAATATTTCTGCATAATTCACGTAAGACCCGAGGGATATGAATTATTTTTTTCGAAATGAAATTGATGTTTAAACGATATTTAAAATTTAAACTCGTAAAATTAATTTAATTTGATTTATTGAAATGAACTTAATGAATAAAAATCTAAATTTTACAATTTTCTTTATATTTTTATACTGTATCACTGTATTTTAAATACAAACTACAACATTAATATGCCTGATAAATCTATAATATAATTCATTTAATAAGTCAATTTAATGCATTAATTCGTTTAGAAACCTTCAATAAATCAAAATTTTCAATTAAATTTCGAAAATTATCTGTAAAGACTTATATAGAGATAAATTAATATTTATTTTATGTTTAAGTTATGAAAATCTGTTATTATTTATTTTATTTATTTAATTCATATATTTTTATGGCTTTCGAAGAGAGGAAGGCCCACGTTTGTTGTTGATTCGGCCCTATCTCAATTCTCTCAGATCTTACTCATAGATAATTATTATACCTTTTCTAATTGCTATATTTGTATATTTTTCAGGACTAAATAAAGTTATATTTACTCTAATTATCACCAGAGAACAATTTATATTTTCTTAAAAGTAATTATGACTTAATTTACTTAGGAATTAATTAAATACAAAAGTATTAGCTATAACTGGGCTGCAATTTTCAAATTTCAGACCTATACAATTTCATTTTTATTCTTCTGTTATCTATCCTTCGTTAACCTCAAGAACGGAATTAGATAGATAAAAATCGAAACTAAATATGGAAAATTCAGTAGCCGAAGGCTTCAATTAAGTATTTATAAACTTCCGTTCTGGAACGGAAGCCACGTGATTTCAATTCAAAATTTTCCCGAGAACGAAGTTAGATGACCGCATAACTCGCTTGTTACGAAGAGAAGAATGATGTACAGTACAGAGACACGACACCACTAAAATCGAGAGCAAATATGGAAAGATTATAATCCGGAGACCTCGATTAACTAAGTAAAAACTTCCGGTGTAAACCGGAAGTTACGTGATTTTTTTAAATTAAAAAAAAACGATTAAAAATTGCAGCCGGTATTGTGATGATTTAATTCTTCGTTTTTATAAACATTTAAGTAAATATTTCAAGATTATTCCTTAAAGAAAAAGAAGAAGAAGAAAAAAGAAACATTAAATTGCTTCAATGTTGTAAATTTTATTTATTTATTAGATAATTTTCCCTAATGTTTAATACATTATTCTATAATTCGAGTCTTAAGTAAACAAATTTGAACGAATGAATTGCGATTGGTTAGCAGCGAACGTAATTAATTTAATTTAATTGGTTCTTGGTTAGGTTTTTAATTTAAATTCCAGGAAGTCGGTTTGTTTTTAATCAAAACAAATAATTGAAGAATCTTTGGACCATACACTAAACTTACGGATGTTACACCGAGCGGAAAAACACAAATATAAAATAGTATAAAGGAAAATGTTTCATACCTTGAAGATGTTATGACTCATCCAGAGATATTTTTATTCTTGTTTTCATGCTGTTTACCACTTTGGTGAAAATTCTTTAAAAAGAAAATAATAAAAATAAAGGATAAAACCCCTTTTAAAATATAATATCAAATAATACATTAATACATTGTACGTAACTCACTTCACTGAATAATTTGAGACGATAAGAGTATTATGCTAATAAATTTAATACTATAAATGTATGTTGTAGAAAGAAATGTACTAAATTATGCTTTAAAAATTGAAGTTATAATGTAAAAAAGCTTAATTTGAATCATTTTAAGCATAAAAATCCCTAAAAACACACATTAATTCAGAAGCATAATTTGAAGTAGGATCGGATTTAGACCGTGGCCTTAAGGTATAATATGCAAGAGGTCTTATAGTACCTCATCAAATAGTAACAGACAATATATTGTGTATTAATTACTTCAGGAGATGGAGTGAGTTCCATCATGCGTGAAATCCTAACTTGTAGCATGTTTAGTCTAGGCGTAAATTCCGTATTATATTTAAGGATTCTACTTAAAACAGCAATCACTCGATAAATAAATAAAAATGATAAAAATTAATTAAATTTCGCCTTAATTTTAAACTTATCACTTCAAAAAATTTAATAAAATAAGAACATTTATCACACACACACACACATATATATATATATAATTTTATTACCGTCTAAATTAAGGAGGAAAAATAATTTATAAATTATAAAAGATTTATTAATTTTTATGTAAACATTAATCTATAATTATCTATTGATATAATTAAGAGCTGTACAGAATTTTGCTTCAATGAACAATTTAAGGTTATGTGGTTACACTCGGTAACAAGGTAAACGCATCGATCAGGAAACTCTTGGTTATCAGTAGTAATTAGATGCTCTTGAAAGCTTTAACTTTGTACATTGCTGTGAACTAGTTGAATAGAAGAATGTACTAAGATAATCTCTAGATAGAAATCCTATTATACAGGAAGTCAATAGAGGAAAAAAGGTATTTCTTTCGATTGGGCAAAAACTATTTTTAAGTAAGATCATAAGGATTAACGGAAAAGTATTTAAAGGATATTGTCACTGCTTGTTTGTTATTTTGACAGCATCTTTCTCTTTTGACAGTTTATGCTCTCTTCTCGATAAATCGATGAATTTGTTGAATTTTTCCAAATATCGATTTTAAGAAGAATAAATATCTGATAAAAATTTTTTACTTATCTAACTTTCTATACAAGATTTTATCGATTTTATATAAGATTGTTTTGTTTAAATTCTTTTGTAAATGAGTCAATAAATTAATTGAAAATTTGCTTGTTTACGTATCAGAAACTGTATAAATTTATTAATATTGATAATTGTACGATGTTTTACAAAGTTTTGAGTAATCTTAATGATTTCTTGATCCAATTCTAAGTAAATCTGGGCACAGAAATGTAGTTAAAAGTCGTAAATTCGGTGTGAAAATTTCAAGTTTATAAATCGAATCGTTAACTCAAATATTTATGAAAAACGTATGAACAAAGATATATTTGAAACTAATAAATTAATAATGCGAAATATTCACTTTCATAATAAATAAATAATGTTCTGTTCATTATTAATCGATAAATCAAATATTTTAAAATCTCAAAAACGTTATTAATTTGCACAGATTTTATTCTTCATCCTAGAAAAACATTAAGTTAAAAATTACTATTCAGAACAGAAAGAGCATTCGAGAATTATAACAGAAATCTCAAGAGAGAGAAGAGGAACACAAACCAGTTCGTTAGAAACGACAGTGAATACGTGACTCTCAGAGGGACGTAGCTCTAAGTGATGGAGATTTTCAGAACACTGGGATAAACTAGAACAGATTTGAACGTGTTATAGTGACGTACTGCATTGCCAAATACATATCCCAAAGGATTTTATTTAAGAAAAGATATTCTTCTCGTTTACAAAAGACTTTGTATGGGAAGAATTGAAATTTGCAAAGTAATCGAAAGCGCTCACTATATATTCATTATATACTTTGATATCATTTATCATCATTTTCTGACTGTTATTTCTTACGAAACAACAACTTTTATGGTTTGTTATATCTGTTATTTAATAAATAATTTTGTCGAAAATGTTATAAAAGTATACTTTTTTTAAATAAATTAAATGCTAATANATAAAGGAAAAAAAACCTTTGTTTTTTCACAGAAAATAATATAAATACTTTGTTTTTAAGTATTAAATATCAGTAATTAAAAGAAATCTTTAGCAGTTTATAAGTTTTAAGATTCAATGACTCAAACTTTCATGAATCGAGAGTAAAGATTGCTAGATTATAGTTCAAAATTGATAAAGTATAAGGCTTTTATGATTCAAAGGTGAAGCTAGGTATAAGAATTATGAGCCTCTAAAAAATTTTCATTCTAAGCTAACTTCTTGACTCAAAGTGGGTGAGTTTTTATAAGGTTCTGGAGATAATCAGACTTGTTTTTCTTAACCAAGCTTCATTCCTGTCTAATGATTCATTCATTGAGGCTGAAGATGCATTTACAGCTTCATTGAATGAGTCAACAGCTCGATTATAACAGAAACTCTTTCGTTTTCAAGTGAATATTAGAAAAAAAAATGAAAGCTTCATTTGGTATCATTACAAATGAAGCGTAAATATTTAAAATTTAATGCTTCGTTTTAAATTAAAATTCATAAAGCACAATTTATTAAAAAATTGTATAAATATGTAAGTATTTTTCTACATAAATTACACATTATTTCATTTATCTAAGCTATAATAATTCGAATTTGAAATAATATTATAGTGTGTATATTTTTAAACATTATAGAAAAATTTAAAAATACATTTTAATGTATTAAAAGAATCAATATTTAAATTAATAACTTCTTATTGTTTTTTAAATGATACAATTTATTAGAATTGATTTTCATATACTTTTATATAAGTAATCTTAATAACATTTAATTTTTTTCCTGATAAAAATATCATATAATAAAATATTCGATTGGTATTCTATAGTTTTTAAAATAATCTACTTTAAATATATTGAGAGGAAAATAATATATATAAAATTGAATTGAATACACGTTTAAGAATGAATAAATAAATTAATATAAATTTATTTACGCATTTATTTTAATATTTAAAATAGAAAAATAGTTTTAAAAATATATAATTAATTAGAAAATTAACTTTTAAATTTTATTTAGCTGTTAATGCATCCGAAGTTCGTTGTTTCAACATAGACTATTTTCCAAAAGAGGAATACAGTCCAGATCCTAATGATTCAACCATGGCAATACCGTGTGAGTAAAATGATTTTATCATTTATTTTATTTATAAATTATTTAGTAAAATTTGTATTTAGTTTTATTAATTTTTAAAGAAAATATCCCAAAGATATCATTGAAATAATGTCATTTTAACGTTTAATATCATTCAATTATTTTTCTTAATTATTTATTTCTATACAATAATGAAATTTGAAAACTCTAGACTTATACTTGTTTGTAGAAAAGGGCTGGCAGAATTACAATTTAATAAAAAGTAAAACGTCTGGATACGAGTCCAATTTTTCTTGCCATGTCTAATCACCAGGAACAACTATTTCCATTGCAGAGCCAACGTTTCTTTAGAGGCTATGCCTCTGCACAAATATGTTTTACATATTTGTGCAGAGGCACAAATATGTATTATACATTATATTTTTAATTGTGTTGGGATTGTCACCTGTGGACATTTAAAACTGTTTTACATATTTGTGCAGAGGCATAGCCTGTAAAGAAAGGTTGTCTCTGCAATGGAAATAGTTGTTCCTGGTGATTAGACATGGCAAGAAAAATTGGACTCGTATCCAGATGTTTTACTTTTTATTAAATTNCTTTATTAAAAAAGGATTAAATGGATGAATATATTATTAATTTTTAATAAAAAATTTAAAAAATAAATTGTAAAGAATTCAGGATGTTTTCTTTTATAATATAGAAATAAAAAAATAAAGATTTTTATTAATAAAATTCGGATTAAATGAATATAAGCAAAAGGAAGTGCACATGATTTAAAATTATAAATTTCCTGTATGAATATAATTTTTTATATAAAAAATTTTCGTAGTATTTTATTACAGAATTATCTAAAATTTAGTTAATAATATTCTTTAATATTTTATTAAATAATTAGTTTTGTAATTAAGCATATTTTAAAGTGGTAAAATGGTGAATTTGCGTACATATTTATATTTTTAATATCGAAAATAGAACAAATTATTTTATACCATAACAAATTTTCATAATGAAATTTGAAGAAGAAGAGCATTAAAAAGCGCTTCAAAAATTATAAAATAAGTTTTTTTTTTTTTCATTTACGAAATTTACAATTTCATTACTTCTCATTTATCTCCATAAATGCAGAATTTTATTAAATAAGTTCGAATTTTTCTTTCTATATAAAAATAGGAATATCCTAAATTCATTATCATATATTTCAAAATAAACAATCATAAATATTTTCTTTAGAAATTTCTGTAATTAATGGCTGATTTGATACAAGTCAACACTATAGAAAACTTAAAGAGCGTAATAATACATTAAAGCTTACTTGTTTGTTCAACACGTACTAAAAATAATTAAACAATTTATAAACACAGATTTAGATATATTATTTAACGCTTAATAAAGATAGTTTCCAGGTTAAGTTAATAATAAATATTTAAGATGCACTTCTACTCTCGAGTCTCTCTTCACAAAAGATGTAAAAACTAGAAATAGTTTCCATATAAATCTGAATAAACTGAGTTAATTACCAAATTATTAACCATAATAACAAAATATTCTTCTCATAATTTTTATTTTGTAAAAAAATATTACAATAGGAACACCATAAAAATTCAAATTACTACACCAAAATAGTTTTGTATTTTGGTCATTTTAATTGTATTTTTTTAATACGTACAGTGAAGTATCTTACACAAAATAGAGACATTAATAAAATTGTTTTTTTTTTAAGTTAATGCTTCTAATTATTTCTACTAAAAACTTTATTTATCCCAATAAATTATAATCTGGGAGCATAACTACTTACATTATTTTCAATTCTAAATAGGCGTGTGATAAATGAATTTTAAATAATTTCGAATTTTCCATGAATTTTAATTTTTAATGCAGTTAATTCTAAATTCTGTCTTAAGTTAAAACACTTTCAGAATATTATATTATTTGATGATGCTCACAGTTTTATTAGATTACATATTAAATCATTTTTTTATATGAGGAAAATGTTAGGAAAATTCAGTGTTGAAGTCATCATACAATTTCCATCATAAATTATAATTTAAAGACAAAAAAAAATTACTTTTTTCTTACATTCTCTTATTTTCTTATCTACTAAAATCTCATTAATTTAATAAGGATCATAAATATATACATGATTAAATTTTATAAATCTTTTATAACACTTAATATAATAAAAATTAGAAAGTTATACACAGTAATGTTGTGCATAATTGAAGTATTATATGAAAATATTATAGAAGAGGAGGTATCATTGGTTTATGTTCCTCTCTCACATTCTTAAATGTATTTTCTAATGTGAATGGTAATTTTAAATTTAAAACTATACCTTCTTTCTTATAAATTTTATTGTTAAGTTATAAATACTTGTATGCTAACTAATAAGCTAAAAAGTAGAAAGGAGAAAAAATTAAAGAATCAGAATATATTTATAAATTTTTATATATAATTCCTGAATTATTATGGATAAATTTAAGTTGTGTGTAATCATAATGTGCATGTTCCATATCCTATACTACGCAAAATATATAGAATTTTTGTCAATTGTGATAGTTAACACATTTGATAGTCAATTCTTCTATAGAAAAGCTTTTGTTTTTTATGATGGGAGAAGTACACTACAATTAACTGTTCATTACTATGTTATTAGTCGTAGTAATAGTATTTTAACGATTAATTTATAGAAGAGGAAGCATAAATTTAAGGCTGTTTTCATTATTTTTCATATAATTATCGAATAGTAAGTTCTAAAAACCTCAAAAAGTAGTAAAAAAGTAAACAATTAATTTAAAACTGAATAGAAATAAATTATATATTTAAAAATGCAATTTCTATTATTGTGAAGTGAAAACATTTGGTCTACACTTTCTAATCGTAAATTTTAATTTTTTCTTGTCTAATTGTTAAAAATATATTTATAAACTTTATAAACACATTTTAAAAATTATTATAATTATAAATGTATAGACATATTTAAGTGTGAAATAGGTTAGAACCCATAATTTTAAGTTAAACTTCTTGAAAATTAAAATATAAAACAGTACGAAAAGCAATGGCTGTAGAACAATAAAAAAAAAATATATATATATAAGAATTTAATTAATTTTAATTTTATAAAAATTTAAAACTAATATTTTCCAAAATCAAAAATTAAATTATAAATTAATATAATTAATATATATTAACTTAAAAATGATGAGTAATGTTATACAGTTTAAACAGAAGCATGCTATTTATAACCGCGTAAATACAATTTAACACCCTTATCAATTAATCTTCATTCATATTTATGCCTTATAATAAATATAAAGCACTGAAAATTAACTTTTTAATTTTTATAAAACGTAAAATATAATTCTAAATGAATAGCAAATATCATAAAATAATTCCGACTAACATCAATTAAATTAATCAAGTTATTATATTTATAACTCGACAAGATAATTTATAAGAAAGAAGGCGAAGATTTAAGTTAAAAATTACTATTCAGAACAGAAAGAGCATTCGAGAATTATAACAGAAATCTCAAGAGAGAGAAGAGGAACACAAACCAGTTCGTTAGAAACGACAGTGAATACGTGACTCTCAGAGGGACGTAGCTCTAAGTGATGGAGATTTTCAGAACACTGGGATAAACTAGAACAGATTTGAACGTGTTATAGTGACGTACTGCATTGCCAAATACATATCCCAAAGGATTTTATTTAAGAAAAGATATTCTTCTCGTTTACAAAAGACTTTGTATGGGAAGAATTGAAATTTGCAAAGTAATCGAAAGCGCTCACTATATATTCATTATATACTTTGATATCATTTATCATCATTTTCTGACTGTTATTTCTTACGAAACAACAACTTTTATGGTTTGTTATATCTGTTATTTAATAAATAATTTTGTCGAAAATGTTATAAAAGTATACTTTTTTTAAATAAATTAAATGCTAATAATAATTTATCATTAATACAAAGACATTTAGTCGGTCGAGTCTGTAATAAAGGATGCATTTTTTATCATAAAATATAGCATTTAAATAGTATTTTTTTAATATAAAATTAATATTGTTTAAAATATTTTAAATTTTAATGCTATCTTTTAAAAAATTTTACTTGATTTTTTAGTTAAATTTATAAATTTCTGTACGAATTTACAGTCAAAATTTTTGACATATAATTTTTATTTTTTAACAAAAATATAAATTATTCAAATTCGTATATGTATGCGTTACATCAAATGATCTCACTGCTCCAGATAAAATTATTTGTTTAATAGAAAAAAAGAAAATAAAAATAGAAATTGATCAAATTTTCCATTCTTTCTTCCCTCGAGATGTAGATCAGATTATTAAAAATTTTTCAAAATTTCATACGTAAAAGGTGGGGGAAAAACCTATCTAGAGAAATTCACCTTTGTGGATTTTAATAGTTTCGTCAAAAAATATAAAGAGTCAACGGGGGGGAGAGAAATGCATTTTCGTCTTTTCTATATTTTCCTCAAAGGAATCAAAATTTTTCGATGTTTTCTTATTTAAAAAAAAATACAAAAATATATGTTTACTTATTTTTTCTTTTTAAATTGAAAAATTTATTTTAATTTGTTTCAGCTAAAAACAATAATAATAATAAAGAATAATTAAAAAAAATACAATTATATATTTATCACGATTTGATTTTGTTTACATTTAATTATAATGTACTTTTTATAATAATTTTTCAAATTAATATTATTATTATTGCTACAATATCTTAATTTTATTGTTATAAATGTACTAAAATTCACTTAGAGTTTTTATTATAATATAAAACTTTATATCCTAAAATTCGATAAAAGAAAAAAACAATTCAATTATTTAAGTTCTTATCCCAAGCTCCTAGATTAAAATCTATTAAGAACAATCAATAGTCTAAGAGCAATTGCTCATAGACTATGGGTAAATTCTTTTACTACGGATAAACTAAGAGACAAGTAAGTAGAATGAAGAAGACTCTTTAAAGCATAACAGCTGTTCTGAAAGCCATTT